ACAGTGGGGTTACAGACAGAGACTGGACACTGGAGCTGGAGAGAGGATAGAGTCACCCAGAACCCCCCACTGACACCCTTCATCATTATCATCACCACTCTCCTTATTCATAGTGAAATAACTCAATGCAGGGTCGTGGTGTTCTGGAGTGTACCCTGGTATTCTGTACAGAGGCAGAAGATACTGAGAGGGACTGGGCAAACGCACAGCAGATACTCTAGAGACACAGTCTGCCCTTGGAGTGTGAAGAGGATGAGACACTGGAGCAGCTGGTGACACCCCTCCCAACTCCTAAACACAGAGTGTGGACATGCAGACTCCACACAGAGGGTGCTGAATTCTGTGTCAAACCCAGGAACCAATCATCACATTTTCCTCTTAATGTAGCAGTTTATTTGCCTTTGGTTTCCCTTTTCCCCAGTGGGTTTTTGGATTTGAGCCGGGTCTTTCTCTTTCGCGGTGGGAAAGTCCAGGCGTGCAGTACGTGAGGCTCAGCCGCCGCCTGCCCGTGGCGTCTCTGCCGACTCCGGGGGCGGTGTAAACAATGGACTTCCGTTCGGGGTGTAATTACTGTCATGTCACAAAAATGTTATCCGTCAGCATTTCATGTGCGGGCAGAAAACTGTGCTGCCTGAGCGCCCATTTTGGCTCACAGACTCGTTTGTCCATTTACACTCAGAGCCTCGCGTTGAGCCCCAATGGCGTCAGATTCAGCCCTGCAAGGCCAAGCCTCCCGCTGCTCCTCTATTGTCGACATCGCAGCTGTGGAGGCGGGGTTACACCGGCTTCCCGAGGTTTGATTGGACGGAGCCTCTGAAGAAGGGCTGTGACCCGGCCGTGGCCACGCCTCCCTCCGGCGCCGCGGCCCCGCGCAGGCGCAGTGAGCTCCCTCCTGAGAGCGGTGTGTATTTACCCCGAATCCAAGATGGCTTCCCTGAGTCTTCCCGGATCGTAAGCGAGCGAACCAGAAACGCCAAAGCGCTACTTTTTGTACTTCACAAGCCTCGCAGAGCCCCTCAGCCTGAGCAGGAAGGGAGAGAGCCACCCGCCCCCGAAAGCAGGGCACGACTCTCAGCTCCTCCCGGGCGGTGCGCGGTTGCACAGCCGAGCCGCAGCGCAGCTCGCCGGCGGCCGGGCAGCGAGGTGAGGCGCCATGGCCGAGCCCAGGAAGGTCCCCTTCGTCACCCTCTCCTCGCCGGAGCCCAGGAAGCGGCGGCGGGAGGACGAGGCCGGCAGCCCCGGGGACTTGCAGCCCGGCGGCGGGGGAGCCGGGGTGCTGCTGGCCAAGGACAGCGGGGAGGTGGCGGCGGAGCGGCGAGGCATCACCGTGCGGCTGAACCTGCGGCTGTCCGAGCCCAGCGACCAAGCCTCGGCCGAGTTCAACTACTGCGAGCTGCTGCAGGCCCTGCAGGTGAGGCGCCCGTGTGGCTGGGCGGTCCGGTCCGGTCAGAGCCCCAGATCACGGCGGCGGGATCCACTCCGGGTCTTTCCGGCTGCCGGCCTGCGTGGTGTTATTTTACTTGTCCTCCTGCAGGATTAGATAAAATACAGATTTCTGTTCCTGCCATCTGCTGCAATATGGAAGATCTCTAGCTTCTGTTCTGAGCACTAGAGTTAATACATTTGTCTGGTGCTGTTTATACAGCTGTGATCTAGTGTCTCACACTGGTGCGGTCTGTGTACA